AGTACGAAATAATTTGTGCCTTTGAGAAGTATCCTTATTTTTCTAGGACAACATTAATTTTCTTACCATACAAGTATACTCATCATGTTCATATGGACCCTCTTCATCCTCCCCATCAGGTCCACAATACACTTCCTCCTCAATATCTTCTTCCTCCTCCCTTTCTACCATGTTAACTGCCTTCCTCCTAGGACAGTCACTGGATCTATGTCCTACCTCATTACATTTAAAATATTTAATAGAAGCAGGCCTTGCATAAGGGTTACTGGGTTTAGGAGGGTTGGAAGGATTACCTCGAGTATGTCCTCCTGTAGTAGCCTTACCGGCATTACTTGTGCTTGTCGGGTGAGAATGTTGTACTGTCGGGACTGATTTGTTTTTGTCGACAGTTGCTGGTTTGTTGTCGCTCCCGCTGTACCGGCGGTAATTATCACTGCGTGCCTTGTCCTGGAACATTAATTCTGCTTTCAAGGCTAGGTTCCTTGCTTCCTGCACACTGAGAACCATCTGTACACCAATTTTGTCCGTGATGGACGGTCTTAACCCGCTCAGATAACGGGCTGCCTGCTGGTTATCACTTTCAAATAGCTGGTTCCTTTCTACTAATCTTAAAAATTCTGATGTGTACTCATTAACAGTACGTGAACCCTGCACACACCTTTGATAAGATTCAAACATATATTGTTCATAATCAGGAGGTAAAAATCTACTTCTGATTAATTGTTTCATGCGCCTCTAGGTTCGAACAGGACCCCTTCCTTCTCTCATCCAGGTCTCTCTCATCCATTCCCACCAAATAGATGCGCCACCCTTTAATCAGAAAGCTACCGGTTTTACCCTTCGTTCCTCTAGTATCTCCATGTAATCAAAGAACCTATCGACTTCTGTGATCCAATCCAGAAGTCCCTCTATACCAAGATCTCCACTAAAAGTAGGAATATCTACATTGAGTTTAAATTCATCATTATTCCTATGGGGATTGAAATTACTTTGATTGTGCCAATTTCTACCGTTTCTATCGTTGCCAGGAAGAACTGGAGCACCACCAAATTCCAAATCATCATCATTGTCATCGTCCAGGACTGGTCGTCGTAGCACAGTATAGACGGGTGGTCTATCGTGGTCGTCTCCCTCGATTTGCTGTGGATGTTCCCGGTTCCGTGGAGCAACCTCCCGTAACAAGGTTCGTAGTTGTTCAGCCATCTCTGCCAACTGCTGATCGATGTTACGTGTGGCTGTACGTTGTTCTTCGATTGCTCTCCAAACAGCTGAAAACCCCTAATCTCTGTCACGGGGTGGGTTGCGACTGCTACCGTCTGGGTTGGACATGACTGGGCGAATTCCCTGCTCTGATATCACCTGACGCAACGTGGAAGCAATGAGAACCGGAGCTGGATATGCAAGCACCGGACGTTCGCTAGCACCTAGCGAATAACACCGATTTCTCTTGGAGAGAGAAAAGGTGGCAAAAACTCAAAGAAGAGAACTTAAGAAAATCTGCAAATATGAAGTGTGTATTAACTGAAAATTATCAATATTTATAATACATTTTGGAAGTTGTAAAGTAATTAGGAAAGAGGGTTAGGATAGATCTAATCTGCATAAATCTTGGGCTTTCTTGATCTTGATCTTGATTGGCCATCTTGAGCTATCATGGTAAGATCGAACCTCCTTGAACTTGATCCTCCACCGTCCGATCTCCCTGGTAGTCTTCTATGCATGAATCTAGGAAGTCTTTGGAAATCTTGATGATGCTTGGAGTCTTGCTAATCTTGATAGTCTTGGGAGTCTTGGAGTTGTTCTTGCTTATCTTGAATTCTTGGACTAATCTTGATAGTCTTGGGTTCTTGGATCCTTCTCTATCTTGACTTCTTGGATCTTGCCTTATCCTTATCCTAGAGCTACCACCCCTAAGGATGAGATGGGCTTTCTTGGGATGGGCCTCCATTAGTAGAGGAGTTGATACACTTATTATAAGCTTAGCATACCGAGCTATATAAAAAAAAAGAGAGCATATCAATTGTCCGCTGGAGGATCCTCGACTTGCTCCTAGACATCGGTAACAGTGGCATCCCCATCAGGCTCTTCAATGTCAAATGGGCCAAACCCTTGGATGACTTAGGCCACCTTCGAGATGACAAAGAGTGAATCCCTCTTGCCAGGATTTGGTGGCATAAACGTCTAGATCATTTTGATGAGCCTCCAAAGCCCTATACTCGGAGACAACCTCTTCCTTCACTCAAGCAATCCTCGCCTCTGCCTCCTTGAGCTCCCTCCTTAGTGCATCTTGTGCTTCCTTTAGATCGTGAACCTGGCCCTTCAACTTGTGGACAGTATCATCCCTCTCCTTGACACCGCGCTTCAGCTCAGCCAACTCCTCCTTCAGGTGGGCGTTCTCTATCTCTCAAGACTCATGGAATCGTTGCAACCCACAGAGACGGTCGACGAGGCCGATGACCGAGCAAAACGACTGTAAGACATTGGATAGTTAGCATAAAAGAAGAGAAGCAAGGAACATCAAGTAAAGCTGAACTCACCGCCATGGTTTGATGTATAGTCGTGCTCTCCAGGAAGCTACTGGTGCAACTGTTGGCTTCTTGCCTGATACCGGGAGCATCACACCCAGGTCAAGTTGCTCAGCCACCCCTTCCGTCTTTAAAGTGTCCTCTGGCGAAATCGACCATTGCGGCACATATATTTCGGTTGAACCCTCAACTGCAGTGCGCTCTAGAGCCTCCCCCCTCTACGAAGAGGACCGCCCTAGTTGAATCGTAGCCTCCTTGGAGTCGTCGACCACCATGACTTCCTTCATCGAGCTCAGGGGAGCATCGCCTTCCTCGCAGCTGCGGTCTTCATACACCGAGCTTTCTCTTCAGCACCAGCCATGTCCAATAGAGTTTGGACAATTCAACACAGTTAGACAAGTTGTATACAACAATAAAAAAAGGAAACAAAAAATGGGGACTGCGTAACCCACGAATCGGACTAGGATTGATCGGCTGAAGCGCACATCATTCCAGCCATAGTCAGCAATCGGGATGATGTGTAATCCTTGATGTGCACTTGCACTATCCTCCTCACAGCAACTATCTCCTCCTCTGACAGATCGACCTAGGAAGGGCCCTTATCCTTGGTCCTCCGGATGAATAGGGCAAGGGAGAACAGCCAACCTCCTCGACACTTCACAAAGAAAAAACCGTCTTTCCAGTGCTTAATGGAAGAGGGAGCCCCGACAAGCACCTTGATGTTTGTCGTAGCTGACAAATACTTATACCCTTTCTTGTACTTCTTCAAGTGGAGAAAATACCTAAACACCCCCTTAATGATTAGGTTTAAAAGAGAAATAAAATAAGACAAGCTAAATTGGTAAAGCAAAGCACTTGCAATTTGGTCTTGGGGCAGAGTTGAGGGCACCAAGAACCAAGCAAAATGAAGTGGATGGTTCATGTAGTAAGCCCACCCACCTAGCCGCGCCACGTTGGATGTCCAGGTGAGAAAAGGATGGGTAATGGATGTTGTATCTAAAATCCAGACATAGAATATGTATCCCCACCATGCACTCATCATGTTGACTATATTGTACTGTTGTTTCAAGGGATTGCCTTCATCATACTTCAGTACTGATGTACCAACAATTTCATAGTCTATGAGTTGGCAAATTGGCCTAATATGTCGTCTGCCGAACAAATCGAAAAGAAGAAATCCAATATCAGATGTGATGCCCCGCTACCTAGATGAGGCCATGATCATTCACACAACAATCTGTCATGCCAAGTTGGAAACCTCTTTACTCTTGATGCTATTAATAATCCAATCATCACATGACATGCAACCCGACACAAGGAAAACCCTTCTCTGGCCTGTCTTTTGCTTACAATTATAAATTACCAAGCTATACCCATTTCTCTTTTACTCTTGCAAATGTATGTTAGTGTTCTGATACAAGAGTAGTACTTGTGTTGCTGCAACCTGATCATTTTATCTTGAGAAGTGCCCACCTCTTTAACCTAAGTCGAATTGTGATTGTAATTCAGTGGCTTTTGTCAATGCTATATATTGATATGTATGGTAAATAGTAATTAATGTTTTATAAAGTTAGAGTTAAAATGAAAATTAAACTTTTTCACTTGAGGGCTTAATTTATGTTTTTATGAACCTACAAATATATATAATATATATATATATATAGTCTTCCAAAAATCAACATGTTTGGCGACTGGAATATATTTAGCCATCAAAATTAGGAGTGCTTTTAAAAGATTAGTTTCCCACTGTTAGCTCCATTTATCTTAGCTTGTCTGAAATATTTATTGTTATACAGATGTAGATAATCTACACTCTCAAAGAGTCAATGTCACCATAACTGGGGACCATTTTATAACAATCATCTACTACCAAGCGATGGGTCTATCACACTGCCTTGTAAATCAAGTGGAGACCAGATCATCTCTAATCAATACAGGCACAATTGTACATTGATAATACTTGTATAATTTTGTGAATATTAAGGAGGCAGAAATTAAATTTATTATAGATCATCTCGACTAACATACCAATTGAACCACGTCTGCTCTATGCCATTCTCGAGATTCTCTGTCGTCTCAGCAAGTAATTCAATCACCAGCAACAATTTTCATAACTGAAGAATCGGCAGTTTTTGGCACCTCAATTTTATTAGGGGGACGGACCCAGTATCCAGTGAGTCTATCTACCTAGCTTGGATGTGATGCCCTACCAACTGCTTCTGGTGCATGCCTTGGGCCTGGATGATCACTCAACCACATCCAAGCAGGCCCACCTCCTTAATTAACATACACATACAACCATCAGTATTTTTTCAAATGCAATGGTCACAGCATGGTATGATTTTGCAATTTTCCATTCCATCCTTGATCCTCTAATCCAAGACAAGGAAAGCTACTCTTGCGTGGTGTGTCTCCTCTTACAATTGTATATAACTGACCTACCCCATGTTGCCTTCTCCAACCACACTAACTCAATCAATCTGGCTTGGAATTCTCAGACCAAGTCTAGATCTCTTCTCAAATTCTTAGTCATGATTAATCACAAGAAGCTCGTTGCCATGGCAAGAAAATGGCAGAAGTTGGCTGCCATCGGCAGGAGAAGGATTTCATCAGCAAGGGCTACAAGTCACCGAAGAAGTGATGAAGAGAAGAAGTGCAGCGAATTGGTGGCCGATAAGGGCCATTTCGTTGTGTATACTGCTGATAATAGACGTTTTGTCATTCCCTTGGCTTATCTCAGCAACCCCATCTTTATAGAATTACTCAGAATATCTGAAGAGGAGTTTGGTCTACCAAACGATGGGCCCATTACGTTGCCCTGCGATGCAGTCTTGGCGGAGTACATCATCTCCTTGGTGCAACGACGCCCCTCTCGAGATCTAGAGAAGGCTCTACTTATGTCCTTGGCTACTTGTCGGTGCCCGCCATCTTCATCTCTCCATCAACAACCTAACCCGCCTTTACTTGTCAATTAATTTTGAAATTTCTACTTCTATTTTACACATTTGTACATAATGATCGACAAAAATCTAAATTTTTGAGGCAATACAAATAGTTTTTTTATTCCTACACTTTACTTCTACCATTACCAACAGAAGAAAATTAAATACAGGAGACAACTTTACCCGCATCTTCTTGCAAAGAATTAATTGTATTTTTATTCATATTTGTTCAAAAAAAAATAGTTTTTGTTCGTGTATAGATATAAAATTTGGGCAGTTGAGATCGATGGAGGCCCAACTTACGCCTGTCCAGTAAAATGCCTAACCTGAGTTCTTCTGGGCCTTTAATGAAAAACCAGTCCAAAGCTCAGAATAATCTCAAGGGGTTGGTGGGACAAGTCAAGATTGATTTATTGGTGTCAGCTTATATGTTAAGGCCAGCCTGCTAATTATGAATTCACATCTGCACCATTCTAATCTGTAACTATTAAACCACCGATCGAGAAGAAACAACTCAATGGTAAGTGGTTTAATTAGCTCATGAGTCATCAGGCTCGGACCAAACTACGGGCTTCGTTTCTGCCCTTCCCTTATTTGCAGCGGGCTAAGAACTATAGGCGTTGTACGTGGGCCAGTCGAGAACAGGACGATCTTATTTCCATCCTATGCTTGACCCCAATTTCTCAGTCGCCCTAAGTACGGCTCATTGGATATTTAGGCCATATTTGATTTACTGTTTTGGGCCTCATTCTCTTAATTCTTGTTCATTCTAGGCAAGAATAGGCAAAAACGAATAACATTAGAGTGTTTGGTTACAATATTTTTGTCCAAGGCCACATTCTTTTTAGAATGAAAAATCAGTCCCATAGAACAAAAATTGACTAGCCTGCAACATGAAAAGCAATCATGCCCCATCTTGTTCATTTCATTCTTCGAGAAAACACTTTTATGAAAGCACTTTTGTAAAAGTACTTTTACATGAATACACTTTTATGGAAGTACTTTTACGAAAACACTTTTATGAAAGTACTTTTTATAAAAGCACTTTTATGGAAGCACTTTTGTAGAAGTACATTACTAACGCAAGTACTTTTATAAAAGCACTTTTACGAAAGTACTTTTATAAAAGAAATTTTGTGGAAGTACTTTTACGAAATCATTTTTACGGAAGTACTTTTATAAAGTCACTTTAAAAGCAATTCTATGGAGGTACTTTTACGAAAGAACTTTTATAAAAGCACTTTTAAGAAAGTACTTTTATGAAAGTATTTTTACAAAAGTACTTTCATGGAAGACAAAAGCACTTTTATAAAATCACTTTTATGAAAGTACTTTTATAAAAGAACTTTTATGGAAGTACTTTTACGAAATCACTTTTACGGAAGTACTTTTATAAAATGACTTTTACTAAAGTACTTTTATAAAAGCATTTTTATGGAAGTACTTTTACGAAAGCACTTTGGTTCATAGCAATATTTTCTCATTCTGCCTAGTTTTACCCATTCTTTTCCATTTTAGAATTTCATCTTGGGTAAGAATGAGAAAGAATGAGAATTGAACCAAACATGGCCTTAGTTTCTTGTTTAGAATCGGGAATATAAACCTTCAACGGAACTTTCATCATGAGCCATAACATAAACAGATATAGTAAATCCCATTTTCTAGTTAAATACTCCTTGGCCTCCCCAAGCCCCAACTTTGATACTGTATTTTGGTTATTAGTTTGGTCTTCCTCACGATCTCTAAGAAGGATATTAAGACCATAGTTATGGGTACAGGGTACCACTTATTAGGTTAGGGGTGAGTAAATGGTTAGGTTCTACCTAGAATCGAATGGAAACGACCTCAAACCGGTCTTAAACCGATTCTACCCAATCTTTTATTGGGTTCCATATTCTTGGAACCGATATCCCCATGTAAGCCAGTTCCAGGGTCTAGGGGTTTACCCTACCTGAACCGGCTCGATGAGCTGGCCTTGGTGGAACTTGCCTTGGATTTGAATTTTCTTTGAAATAAATGCCAAAATACTTTTGGAAATTTGAAGATTTGAACCCAAACACTCATTGTTACAAAGGCCATAGTCTCACTTGACCATTGAGTTATTTAAGTGATTTGATCATTTGAATATTTCAATGTGTACGATATGTGATATAAAAGGTAATATTTATAAAATTTAAATTTAAATTATAAGTTTTGAACCATATAATGATAATCTATACATATCAAGTTACTTAATTTAATCAATAAAGATAATATAAGTTTTAAACTATATATTATATTTAAAACTTTTGAGAAAATGAAGCTAACTACAAAGCAACTATAGCCGGCCAACGTGCCACTTGTCGGCTTCTCGGGGAACATCATCAAACCGGAGGGAAGAATCACCCTACCAATCTAAAGGGATGAGAGATCCATCATATGGATGGTCAAACCCTGCAAGAAGGTTGGGCGAAATTTAAAAAATTTCTCTCTCTCCCATCTGGGAATTGCATTCCCTATTTTAGAAAATTGCATTTTCAAGGATTCTTCTTGAACCAAATCGGACCAGATCTGAAACCAAAAGGGAGGAGAGGGATATACCTGATTCGAAGTAGCAGTAACTCCCAATGAAGGTGTTCACTTCCAAGGAGATAACCAAAACCTGCTTCCACTGAAGATGACACAGTGTGTGGTGAAGTAGGATCCGCAGGATGGTTCTTTAGCAAGAACCAAATTCTTCAGCAAGAATGGAGTAGAGGGCTGGTGAGCACGACTTCAGATTGCTTCTTCTACCAAGAAGCAATATCAAGAACAATTCTTGATCACTCCCACAAGTAGAGATCGAATTGGGTAGGGGCGGCAAGAACAGGGAAGAACTCTATAGATTGTTGTCTTGTATCTGGTGTGTTTTTCATGTCCGCCCTGCTCTCTTATTTATAGCCTTAAAGAGACAACCTCCTAATCTGATTAGGAGTTTCCTGATCCAAATCTTTATTTGGATATGGACTCTTTAAATGATAAGGATAATCCCTTATCTTATCTGCAGTTTAAGATCAACTTAATCTTAATCAAATTAGGAGTTTCCTGATCCAAATCTTTATTTGGATTTGAATTCCTTAAGTGGATAAGACTTATCCTCTTATCCTTATCTACTGATCCAAACCCAGATCCGCCCCTATTTAATTAATCTAATTAACCCAGTTCGAAATTGGGATGTAGGCAAGTTTATGTGCTCACTTAACCTCTTAACTTGCTGCCCAGTTGACTTTCTTTGCATGGCATGGGATCCAAACATTGATCTACACATCAACCACATGGGTTCAACCTAGCCTTTGTTACAAGGCCTGGCCGAATTTACTGTAGGAGACAGTGAACCCCTGAGTCCATCACTATGAACTCTTAATGGGCCCAACATTTACACTAAATGGTCATCGGGTCCAGTCACCTTATGAAAACCCAAGGACTGTGGGCAGATGCAGGATTAACCCATCAGGTATTACCCTCAATGTTTTTACACTTAACCTCTCAGCACATAATGATCAAACACTACCCGACAAGAGAGGACCTCTCCCTCAGCTGCAAGGAACAATGCTGCACTTTCTACTCACATGGATCCCGAGAAATAAAACCTTTTGCAAACATTTCGAAATCATTATATATATATATATATATATTTTGCAAAAACAAATTTCAACAGATGAAATCAACTCCTGACAGTTTAGGTTTCCATCAGAGAGAGTGCATTTCCGATCATTCACTTTGTTCGACAAAGGGGCTGATCCTGTCACTATGATCACCCAATCAGATGAATTCTCAGATTGTCCCTACATACCCAGGTTTTGACCCCCTCTAAGGATCTCAGTGATTGGCATATCAAAGACAGCCTGATCTGACACCTAGTGCAGTACCATAATCGAGTCTAGGGGTCAGGTGTAACATTCCGGTTTTGTCCATCTATCTCCAATGTCTAGGGCAATACTAGAACTTTGGTCTGGTTCAGGGTTTCAAGAAAACTCACACTACATGTACCTCATGTCTCACCCTGACAGCTGAGACAAGCCACCCCAACCAACTTGGCGGCACATCAGTGTCAGCCTTGGTAGGATAAATCTCCCCAGATCTATCCAACGGCTGTGAAGATTCTAAACTAACACGAGTCTCATAAGTGTCTAGTTTAAGGGTATTACATAGAAACACTCCACAATGATATGAATCAATTATGTACTTTATTCATTTACAATAAATGACATAATTTACATCAATCTGATTGGAGCTAAGGGCATACACTATCTAACACAATCATGGTGGGAACAGAGCCTTGGTAGGTGACGAGGATGACCAAGCTCCTACTTGTGAAGATCGGTTCCCCCTACAATGCCATCACCGGTCGGCCGACCCTTCATGCATTCAAGGAAGCCATCTCCTCCTACCGCCTCACCCTCAAGTTCCCCACCGAGCACAGTGTCAGAGTCGTTCATGGGGATTAGCAGACAACCCGATAGTGCTATGTGGCAGCACTAAAGGGCAAGAATTGGTAAGCTTCTTCAAAACTAATGCCGATGTCTTTGCTTGGTTTGCCGCTGACATGCCTGGAATTAACCCTTCGGTCATTACTCACAAGCTGAGCATGGACCCAAGATATAGGCCAGTTCAGCAAAAAAATATGAACTTTGCATAGGAGCATTGGAAAGCCATCGAAGAGGAGGTTGACAAGCTACTTGATGTCGGCTTCATCCGAGAGGTACATTACCCTACCTGGTTGTCCAATGTGGTCATGGTAAAGAAGGATAACGGGAAGTGGTGAATCTGTATTGATTTCACAGATCTCAATCGAGCATGCCCCAAAGAAAACTTTCCTTTACTGAGTATCGACCATCTCATCGATGCCACTACAGGTTATAAACTACTGAGCTTCATGGATGCCTTCTCCAGATACAATCAAATCAAGATGCACGCCAAGGACAAGGAGAATACCTCATTTATCACTGAGCATGACACCTACTTCTACAAAGTCATGCCCTTTGGCCTAAAAAATGTCAGAGCCACCTATCAACAGCTTGTAAACAAGGTTTTCAAGCATCAGATGTGGAAAAACATCGAAGTCTACATAAATGACATGGTTGTGAAAAGCGTGAAGGCTGACCAACACACCTCGGACCTAGTAGAGATCTTTGCCACTTTGCGGAAGTATAACATGAAGCCGAATCCCAATAAGTGTGCTTTTGGTCAACTCGGGAAAATTCTTGGGCTTCGTTGTCACGCAACGGGGCATTGAAGCCAACCCAGAGATGATTCAGGCTATACTGGACATGGCACCACATCGGTTTACCAAAAAACTTAGAGACTTATTAGCCAAGTGGCTGCCCTTAACCGGTCATGTTGAAGTCGGCCGACCGTTGTTATATATTTATGTATATATATGTAAATATGTATGCAACATTTACATATACACACATATATATATGTATAAATATATATAATTACGCAGGGCTCGCGCCAGGTTCAAGTTACCTAAGGGCTAGGCCCGAGCCTAGCCCAAGGACAAAAAATCAAAGCCCAACCCATGTAAAATTCTGGGTTGGGCCGGTTCGGGCTCCAGATGGGCCCGCCCAAGTTGCACCCCTACGAGTGAGCCATATGCCTATTTGACCATCTTGCAAGGCAAGAAACTATGGGGACCTCGGCTATGGCATCGACCAAAGACTTCAGCTTACCGTGAATAAACAGACTAAGTACTTCGCTAAAACAGGAAGTGTTCCGTGACCTCGGCTAGGCACGTCCCCACGACCTCGGTTGGCCATAGGCTCACACCCCAAGATCCCCAATGGCAGGTGCACACATGGGAGGCCCAGGATGAGGACATGTGGCGTAGGCCCTATCACATCCTGGCCGTCTGCTCAAAACGAACTCCAGGCAAGTTCAAGTATAAATAAGTGGCATCACTCCCCAAGTAAGCTATTTTGGCAATTATTGCTCTAAGTTCTCTAGCTCTCGTCTGACCCCTTGCTACTCCCTTGCTAACTTGACCGTTAGAGTCTCCGCCCCCAAGGGTTGAGAATTCTTCTCTTCTCAGAAACCTCAGCAAATCTCTTCCTTTATCCTCAAGACCCTTATTTCTCTCAAGCTCACACTAGAAAACATGATCAACAACAGGAAGCTTCTTGCCATGGYAAGAAAGTGGCAGAAGTTGGCAGCCATCGGCAGGAGAAGAATCTCATCACCAAGAACTAAACTGCAAAGGGGTGTGGATGAGTGCGGTGCAATGGTGGCTGTTAAAGACCACTTTGTTGTGTACACGGCTGATCAGAAACGTTTTGTTATTCCATTGGCGTATCTCAACAATCCCATCTTCATTGAGTTACTCAGAATGTCCGAAGAAGAGTTTGGACTACCGAGCGATGGGCCTATCACATTGCCATGCGACTCGGCGTTTGCAGAGTACATCATCTCAATGGTGCAAAGACGTCCTTCAAGAGACTTAGAGAAGGCATTAGTTGTGACCCTATCTACATATCGGTGCTCATTATCTTCTTCTCTCCATCAAGATCCCAGTAATTGGCCTATACTTGTCAATGGTTTTTGAACAAGCCATATATTGCTATGACCCATTGGGACCATGCAATATCTTCAAATACTCTTCTTTTTTTTTTTAATTTGTAAATAGTTATACATATACAAATTTTGTAGCTGTATGATCAGCAGAATTTTTGAATGAAAAATATGGAGTTCACTTATTCATCCAAAATGTATATTGGTGTTTCCCTACAAGAATATTACTTGTTCCGGCAACCTGATCTTTTATCTTGAGAAGTGTCCACCTCTTTAACTTAATGCCCTGATCGCTTTTCGATAAATCACTTACCTGGGTAAATGCACTTAGCTGGGTAAGTGTTTCCTAAGAAAGATTTACCCGGGTAAGTACATTTACCCATTTTCTTTTATTTCCCATGTAAATAAGGCAATGGCCATCTTAGCCATAATAATGGTATTTTGTCCCATCCATGTATTAGCAACTTTCTCTTAGATGGGAAAGTTAATTTACCCACCTAAGAGATGGGTATACCCTGACAATAAATTTTCACTCATCCCCACATAAATCTGAAAAATGAACATGGGTTTCTTGATCAATTATAATCAAAATCCCATTGACCAACGTTCCCCCTCTCAAAATCCAAAAAAACAATGCCCCCTAAATATAAGTGCAATTGTGATCCAGTGGTTTCTGTCTTTGCTATTGATATATATCATATTTATCAGTTAATGTTATAGAAAGTTTGAGCTAAAATGAAAATTAAACATTTTTGTTTAAGAACTAAACCATTAATTTTGCACAGGGTGGTTGGGACTGACAATCCGGATCGATCTACTCTTTTGTGAGCCCTACCAACCAAATAATCTTCCAAAATCAACATGTCTGGAATGAAATAAAAACATCAAGCTACATATAGCTTTACATCCTAAATTGGACCTTAAATGGTGGGTTATGAATTTCCATTGAATTTATTGTGGATGAGTCAAGGATTCTTAATTTTTGCTTATATGAAATATTTATTGCTATATATATGCAGACAAACTATGCTTTTAAAAGAGGAAATTAGAATCCTTATCTTATTAATACATGCATATGTTATAAACGAGTTCCTCTAAACAGGAAACTAGAATTGTTATCTAATTTATTTAGTGCTGGAATTCTAGTCTTTGTGATAAAGTTAGTGCAACTATTGCAGAGGACCAATGAGTCTGGGTGCCACAGTACTGCACTAGCTTGCATATGGATATAAGGTTACAATAGCTGGGGTCAGCTTGCTCTCTTAATTTTGACATGGATGCGGTTGGACCTGGTCAGGTAAGTGATGATCCCCATCAAGGTTTTAAAAATCAAATCGGATAATGAACTGGTTAGGGGTCTGGTTCTTGGGTCGAACGGTCTGATTGTCGAATCAAACAGGTGGTTCGTTCTAACAAAAGAATAAAAAATAAAATATGGTCAAAACCATTGAACAGTTCAAACGGTTCAACCACCAGGATAAGCGATTTACTGACCAAATCAACGTTTTTTGAAAAAATTCTGGTTTTAGGAAAAAATGGAACTGGTTGACTGGTTCTCGGTTTTTCTGGTCCGACCATCCGGTCCAGTCCGGTTTTGAAAACCATGATCGCCATTCCCCATGTTAGATTGGAGTTGAATCTGCTAGTAACGGACAACACTATTTACAAGTTTGCTAAACCGTATAAACCACATATAAAGCAAATATTCGATATATGGCATTGCTGATTTGACACCTTTACAAGTCACAAAATCTCTATCTTCATTCTTTTTATCCTTTTATCTTTACTTAAATAATATTATTTGTCTCTTTAGACATCCTTAATTTTGTTCTAATAAATAGAGAGGATTAAGAGGCCCTACATGTACGCTAGTTTATTTGTATCTTGGCCCCAACATCTTTGAGGATAAGATTAGTTGTATATACGTATGGTTTATACTTAACTGAATGGACCAGTTTCTCTGCCAATTTTACACAATCATGATGCCAGCACCAAACACACCTTCAACTTGGTTACCAGTCAAATAGAGTCTCATAGGATTTGAGTTGGCCCGACAAGTTTCAAGCAATAACCCATCTATTTGATGTTTTATCTAAATGATTCAGAGCATCTATCAGGGTTTAGTTTTGGGCTAATAATTGAACATTAATGTCCCATAGAAGAACCTTTTTTTTGTGGTTTTTCTCTAAACAAATGGCGAAAAGGTAAAAAAATAACTGTCTAACAAAACAAAAACGTTTAGATAAAAGGTACATTAATTGGGACATGTATCATACAGCTATTACGTGCTCACTCATTATGCTTATCTACGTACCTATTACATCCGGACCCATTTAATAGACTAAGACGAACAGACTAAAAGAACCAAAAGAAAGGGAATAGTGTATGATCTCCACTACGGCCAACCTAGCTAGTCACATTGGATGTTTAATTTGGTTGGAGAAGGATGGATCCATGATCAACTCTTCCGACTTATGAGAAGCAAAAACCATCTAATCTGCCTACAACAAAACATGCAGCTCCCCACCACTTGCCTTCCTTGCTTTCTACTACTGCTTTGAATTTTTTGGTGCTTCAGGGTGCATGCATTCTATCTTTCTAGGAATAATATCTTATTCCAATAACCACAAACATTTGTAGGATTTATGAGCTGGAACTGAGTTGATTGGACCTAGTATGTTGGAAAATTGTAAGGGATAGGAAAATTGAGAATCAAGTCATGAATGTAATGGTCCTACTACTTTCATGAATTTATATATGGTTATGACTTAACAACATCCAAACATGTTCACCTCTACAATGTCAGATCAGTCCTACCAAAATTTCACATGACTTAATTTGTTTCCCATGCAACCTAACACAAAGGAAAGATACTGTTGCATGGTTTTGTCTCCTCTGGCAATTATATATAACTGAGCTATTCCCATTTTCTTCTCCATCAAACAAATTTCCTCAGCAACATATTCCTTATTAGCAAACAAATTTCATCTTTTGTTGCTGAAGCTCTCTTTTAATCAAGTTTGCATTACAAGTCATGGTTAACTACAAGAAACTCATTACCATGGCAAGAAAGTGGCACAAGTTAGCTGCAATGGGTAGGATTAGAATCTCATCACCAACAGCTGACATGCAGAGAGATGCGGACAAATGCAGCAAATTGGTGGCCAGTAAGGGCCATTTCGTAGTGTACACTAGCGATAAGAGACGTTTTGTTATTCCATTGGCATATCTCAGCAATCCTATCTTCATAGAATTACTCCGAATATCTGAAGAGGAGTTTGGACTACCAAGCGATGGGCCTATCACACTGCTTTGCACAGCAGACTTTGTTGAGAAAATCATCAATTTGATGCAAAGGCATCCGTCTAAAGATTTAGAGAAGGCTGTCCTAGCGTTTCTCACCACTTGTCGTTGCTCATTATCTTCACCTCTCTTTCAAGAATCAAATAACCCACCTACTCTTTTATTGGATTTTAAAGCAAATTTCGTGACCAATGGAGACCGGATCTCTAATTAATACTTGATCATTTGTACATGACCAACGGTTTTCACGGCTGTCTCCGTTCTTTTCGTCTTCTCTAGACCCCCTCTATTGGGGTCGGCTTTGCCCTCCAGACGCTTGTCAGCCAAGGATTCTTTGACAACGATGTACTTCTACGCCTTTTTAAAAAATTCTGCCTTGTTCTTCGGTGATGTCTTGGCGAAGAACCACTTGAGGGGTCTGGGTTGGAGGCTGTTGATGGATCAATGCATCAAGACCGAGGGGTCAAGGTCACATACCTTGAGTTTTTCTTTCTTGAAACAGTCAACGTAGGACCGCAGACTCTCGCCACACTTTTGTCGGATGGACATGAGGGAGACAACAGTCTTTTGGCACCGTCGGTTGCTGACAAAGTGGGAGAGAAAAAGGTTGGAGAACTATTCCCACTGGCTGATGGAGTGAGGGGGGATCCTTGAGAACCATCGGCGGGCTGCCCCCTTGAAAGTCGCCAGGAAAGCTTGGCATGCCAAGGCGTCGGAATATTAGTATAGGAGTATTAGCACTCAGAAGCTTTCTAGGTGGTCGTCGAGGTCAATAGTTCCATCATACATTTCTAGTGTGGGGTCCTTGAAGTGGGGTGGGAGGAGCTCCGAGGTGATAGAGTCGGTGAAGGTGTCCATTCTGTTGGACGAGGGGTTTTCATTGGCGGAGGCATGACCTCGGCCCCACCTTACTTACTGGAGTTGATCTGTGCTAGGAGGTTGAGAATCCTTCTGTCAATGGGGGCTTGGGCCTCGTCTTGGTCCTCTTGGGCGCGGAATGGATCGGCCCGGTTTTTGGAGTGTTCTGATGCGGTCACGTCTTGATTTCTTTGGTCCTGTGAACATCAGAAAAATACCTCCGCTGGCTGTTCACTTCATGGCTGAAGTTATGGAGTCGCCACCCATCAAAATGCGCAACTGGGAGTAATGGGCCTCTTGGATTTAAATTTTAAAACTCATTTAGAATTAGCAGTGACTCCATACCAATCAACTAGGACAAGGCCCATATGGGCAAATTGAGAGAGAGAGAGAGAGAGAAGGAAGGGGTTAGGCACCCCTCTCTCTTGTTAGTGTGAGCGCTGGTTTCCCTATTTTCCTTTGGATTTGATGTGAGGAGCTGGGTTCACAGTGATTTGAGAGGATTCAGGAGCTTCTCTCTTCTCCTCCAAACCAACCCCCTTTTGGATGCAGGGGTCTGAGCAAAAGGATGAATTCTCAACCCTTTTCTATCAAGGCCCCACCTTCAGACTCAACTGGCTGGTTCATAGGGCAAAAAGAAACGCTTCAAATCCTCTTGGATGTTGAGGAAGGTTCTTACATTCAACTCAAACTTTGCACAAACACCAAACTAACACAAGTATTAACAGAGAAATACTTCATATAAAGTTAAAGGAGATGAGATAAAATGAATACCTCTTGTAACTTGAAGACTGACGATGCTGCTGAACTCGTATGCAGAGGTTTTGTGTATGGTTGGGCTTTTGGTGCTGTAGAAACCCTAACTCGGGGATGGCAAGGTAGTTGGATCGAGGGCTCTAGTAGCGGCACTGAAATCCGGTGGAGATGGTAGGAATGACTGATGTATTCAGTATCTAGGGTAAAGGACAAGAATCCTCTCGGTTTCTCTCTTTCCTCTTGATTTCCCTCTCTCTTCTTTGCTCTTTCTCTCTCTCTTTTCTCAAAAAAAGGGAGAGTTCTTTCACCCTTGAAGCTCTCTCTCTCTCTCAACTCTCTGCTCTCACCTCTTTCTTTCTTTTGGTTTCTCTCTCTTTCTAGTGCTCTCAGCTCTCCCTCTATCATTTTTTCCTGTCTGGTTCTCTTAGCTCTCCCTTTCTCTCTATCGTTTTTCTCTCTGTTTTCTTCTCTCACTTGAGCTCTCTCTCAAACTTCTCTCACTCGAGCTCCATCCCCCCTTCTCCCTCTTTTTCTCCTCTCTTCCTTTCTACCCTGCTCTCTATCTCTCCCTCTCTCCTCAGAAAAATGGGAGATCTCTTTCTCCCTTGAATCTCTCTTTCGATGCTTGCGGCACTCGCCTAATTCTTAAATTCGACAGCTCTAAGGAAAAACCCTGAGAGTTGCTTCTTGTCTATTCGAAGAGACCCCCCTTTTCAATCTCTCTTCTTCTCCCCGATTGGGAATAGTGCCTTCCCTTTTATAATTGAAAGGAAGGGGGTTTCTAAACAAAAAAACCGAGAGGAAGGGGGTATTTAGGTGGGTAGGTTAGGGTTTGGGGGCAGTATCACTAGGTCGGTATCTTTAAGGGGGTAAATTGAGGGAAGAAGGGTAACTTGGTATTTTGGACACTTGGGGTAACTTGGGAATCAGGTTAGGGGTAGTTCGGGTAACTTTAGTCAAGGGTATTTTAGTAATTTTGGTAGGAGGATACTTGGGAATTAGGTCAGGGGTAATTTGGGAATTGGTTAAAGGGGTCATTTTGGTAATTTTGGTAGTTCGGAAGAGGAGTGGGAGAGGATTATACCTGATACAGAGAAATACTATCTCCCAATGGAGGTGTTCACGCCCAAGGAAGGATCCAAAATCTGCTCCCACTGAAGATGGCACAGTGAATGATGGAGCAGAATCGGC